GTTTCATCTATCGTCACTTAGAATTAATCACGATCTGTACTCCGTCCCCCACCCCCCAACAAGAACAAGGGCATCAACGTACTTAAAAAATACAGGACTGCTTTAATGAGATGTAATTCACATACCATACTGTTTCCCCCTTGAAGTATTCAATTTAATGAATTCAACAAATTTTTTAAATGTTTATTTTTGAGAGACAGTGCGAGTTGGGGAGGGGCAGAGAGAGAGAGAGAGAGAGAGAGGGACACAGAATCAGAAGCAGGCTCCAGGCTCTGAGCCATCAGCACAGAGCCCGACGCGGTGCTCAAATCCCCAAGCCATGCGATCATGACCTGAGCCGAAGTTGGACGCTCAACCGACTGAGCTACCCAGGCACCCCTCAATGAGTTTCAGTATATTCCCAAAGTTGTGCAACCGTCAGCACCATTAATTCTCCAATTAATCATCTAGAATCTTTTCATCCCCTTCAGAACACAGCCTGGACCCTTTCATCATGCCCCCCCTCTCTACCCCTGCACTCCTGCTCCCCCATGTCTTCGAATCCGCCTTCTGTCTCCATGGATTTATCCATCGGAGGCATTTTGTTTATGTCATGTAAATGGGCTTATGTGATGTCTGGTTTTCCAGAGCTGGCTTGTTCTGTTCACTCAGGAGGTAGCGGGCATCAGCACTATTCCTTCTCATGGCTGAATCTCAGCCAGTTTTACCCTGCGGCTCCTTTGTCCTCGTCGCCTTGTCACTTGCTAAGTTGGATTTTAGCCCCAGACCGTGTGTGTGCGTATATTTAGCTTATTTTTCAAATAATCAATCGTTATTTATCATCAGTTTCAACAGCCACATCATCTCCTCTTCTTCTGCCCCCGTCCCCCACGGTGGGGACCAGACTCTTACACTGAGTGATCACCCAGCGGTTTGGATCTTATGTCAGGCTCTGAGCTTAAGGAATCAGGACTTACTACATAATTTTCTTAAACCCTTCCCCCTTGTAGACTTCCTGGTGGCCTTGCCCGCACCACAGCTTGAAGCACACGAACTGCAGACGTGTGCGTCCCACCTGCTTCCTTGACCTCGCTACGCCGGTGTCTCAAACATGAAAAGTCCAACAGAAGATGCCGATTGTCCCCTCCCCCAAAATGACTCCTCCCTGCACTCATCCTGTCCATCTTATAAATGGCACCACGTCCCCTTGCTGCTCAAGTGAGGAGGCATCCTTGACGCTGTTTAAAAAAATTATTATTGAAGTATAGTGGACATACAATATTACGTTCGTTTCAGGTGCACAACCGAGCGATTGGATGATTCTTCACATGGCTCCTGATGCTCTGTCTTTTCTCCCCTCCCACGCTGCATTCACTCGTGTTCCCCAAAGGTACGTCTGAAATCCGTTCCTGAGCTGTCCATCTCCAGAGTCACCCCCAGACTAACTTCCTTAGTTGCTGGATCTACAATAACTTTAACTGATCTCCTTGCTTCTATTGTTGTCCTCCAAGAATCCATTCTTTCCCTAACTGCCCGATGGCCCATTCAAAGCATGTACCAGAGTGTCATGTTCTAGCTTAAGAGCCCCTGATGACCGCTGCTGTTCCTAGAATGAAATCCAGACTCCTTTCCCCCACCTCCCCATTTTTTTTCAAACACATTTTAAAAAGTTTATTTATTTATTTTGAGAGAGAGTGAGAGATGGGGAGGGGCAGAGAGAGAGAGAGGGAGAGAGAGTCCCTGACATTGCAGAGCCTGATGCGGGGCTTGAACTCGTGAACTGTGAGATCATGACCTGAGCCAGCAAGCAAGAGTCGGGGTGCTTAACCAACTGAGCCACCCTGGCGCCTTGGCTCCTCTCCCCTTTAAGACACTTGCCAGTCTTGTCTACGCCCGCCATCTCTCAGTAGAGTAAGTCGTCTTTGAGCAGGGACTCTTCTGTCCCGTGCACACTCAGCCTGCAGGGCCTGGCATGTAATGGAGCTTTAGTAGCTGTTGATCGACTGATTCACTCTTTCTGCTCCTGTCTCAGCCTCCCTGCTACTCAGTCTGACCACCTGACTCCAAATTTGCTGTGGGCTTGGGGGTTTCAGCTTTGAGCAAAGGCTGATGGTGGGGTGGGGTGGTGACTTGTGAGAATATCACTCATTTGAGAATATCACTTCCAAGTGTTGCATGATGCCTCTGGTAAGATATCACTTGGTGTTTTGGAATTCGTTGAGTAGAGTGGATTCTTTCCCCTCATCTCTTACTTCTTTTTCATCTGGAAGCTAAGTTGTCTTCTGAGCTGGAGTCTCTGGGATTTGGGGGCCACATCCTGGTGATTTTTCCAGAGGTCAGGCTGGGGATCTTGAACAGTCCATCCTGTAGATTACACTCATGGGAGGTGACCCTCTGGGAATGAAGACAGGTCTTCAGGGTAAGGACTCACTCACATTTCTGCATTTGAGGAGAACAGCAAGCACCAAACCATGAAATGTTTCTGGCTAATGGAAGAGAAAGAAAAAGACCCGTGAAAGCAACATTCCCTATGCTCATAAATACCAAGCAGTGCTCCTAGGTAACCAGAGAGAATGCATGGGGACAAGAGGAGTTTTCTGGGAGCATACTGGGCTTGGTAGGGCTAGGGAAGGGGCTTGCACATATCCTTTTCCCCTAAAGGGCAGGCTCCCCTACTGCAAGCTTTTTGGAACACCTTCCTTTAGTCCAGCAATCTGAGCTGCCCCACGGATTCTTGTCCACAGGGCTCCGTGCACCAAGACTGGCTGCATTCTGAGGTCAGTTGGGGGGCCATCTTAAGGCCAAGGGCCACATTATTGATAAGGCAGAAACTCTCCTTCTGATCCTTAGTTGGATGGGATTTCTTGAATGTTGCTTAGATGCTGGGGATCCGGCCAGGGGTAAAACCTGGAGCTCGTGTTCCTAATGAGCAAGAAATGAAGGACCACAGGGCACACGGCAAATGTAATGCTAGAGGAAAGTTTGAGTTATGGGGGACACAGAAGACGGAGTGATAAACACTGAGGGTGGGGAAAGGTGCCAGGGAAGGTGGCCCAGAGGAGGGCTTTCTGGAGGAGCATACAGCCTGAACGAGGGTCTGCAGGCTTGAAACACCTTGGGGGAACTGTAGGCAGATCTATCTGGCCGGAGCCCTGGGTTTGGAAGCAGAGTTCATATAGAAGGTCAGCACTGGACAGGTCAGGGTTGGGTTTACATTTTCTTTTCTTTTCTTTTTATTTTTTGTTGAGGTTTCTTTTTATTTTAATTTTTTTAGCTTTTTAATTTTAACTTTTAATTTTTAAAATATAATTCATTGTCAAGCTAGCTAACATACAGTGTGTACTGTGTGCTCTTGACTTTGGGAGTAGATTCCCCCGATTCATCGCTTCCATACAACAGCCAGTGCTCATCCCAACAAGTGACCTCCTCGCTGCCCATCACCCATTTTCGCCTCTCCCTCATGCCCTCATCAACACTCAGTTTGTTCTCTGTATTTAAGAGACTCTTATGGTTTGCCTCCCTCCCTCTCTGTATAACTATTTTTTCTCCTTCCCTTCCCCCATGGTCTTCTGTTAAGTTTCTCGAGATCCACATATGAGTGAAAACATAAGGTATCTGTCTTTCTCTGACTGACTTCACTTGGCATAATGCCCTCCAGCTCCATCCACGTTGCTGCAAATGGCGGGATTTCATTCTTCCTCATTGCCAAGTAGTATTCCATTGTATATATAAACCACATCTTCTTTATCCATTCGTCAGTTGATGGACACTTAGGCTCTTTCCATAATTTGGCTATTGTTGAGAGTGCTGCCATCAACATTGGGGTACAAGTGCCCCTATGCATCAGCACTCCCGTATCCTTCGCATAAATTCCTAGTAGTGCTGTTGCTGGGTTGTAGGGTAGTTCTATTTTTAATTTTTTGAGGAACCTCTATACCGTGGGTTTGCATTTTGGAGATCATGCTGGCTGTAGGGTGAAAAGTGGATGGGAGAGGAAACGGGGGATCAGTTGGAAGGCTGTGCTCTAGCTGCGGGGAGGAGAAAAGTGAGTGGCAAAGAGATAACGAGCATTTAGCACTAACAGGCTCGGCGTTGACAGTTGGTTGTGGAAGAGTTGACAATGATTTTCATGAATCTGCCTTGAGCTCATGCATGGTTCAGTATGACTGAAACAGGAGACATGGATTAGGTTCTGGGGGAAGATACTGAGTTCTGTTTTGGACGTACTGAGTTTGAGACATCTGAAGGTTCTCTGAAAATGTCCTGAAGGTAGACAGCTGCAGTTTGGGGCTCAAAGACATTGTCACCTCAGACCTGGGCACAGAGCTTCAGAGCAGGAACGGATTCCATGGTGGATGGGATTGCGCAGGGAGGTGACAGATAAATGGACACCGAGCCTCACTGGTCAACAGTATTCGCATTTAAAATTTCTCACACCCTCTGCCCTGATCACACTGAGAGAGGCATCCCTTGTCCCCGGGAGAGAAACTGTCTCACGATAAGGGCCAGCCCCTCGAACTGCATGGAAATCTTGCCAGTGCGGTAGGACGCCTGTGTAAGCAGGGCCACGGTTTCTGGGTAGAGGGAAGCGGCTCTGAATTCAGTGTATTCAGTATCAGAGTGGCTGTTGGTGGGGTGAATGAATACCTAAGCTGGGAGATGGGCGGTGGCCAAATCTTGGGCCCTTGGGATGCAGATCATTTGAAACAAAGAAAACTTAGTTCTTGTTTCTTTCCCAGGGGGGGGGCTGCCCTCCTTCTGTCCCAACACGGCAGGGGGCAAAATGCTCAGCACTCAGGAGGAGGCCCTGATGAGCTATTGGTTTCGTGAACCTAGCAGCACGACAACAACCAATAGTTTTCCTCACCAGTTAAGGGCCCCCCGTCAGCTCTGCCTCACGGTTTCTGCCTGGGAACGACAGGTGCACCCAACAGACAGAGCTGTGCCGCAGGCACTGAAAAGAAACATGTTGAAAGAATGTTGCTGTTTGCTTTTGAGTGATTGTTTCATTTTCCTTTCAGCCCTCAAAATCAAAAAAGACGGAGTTAACCGCTTGGAGAGGTGGCATTGTTGGTTGTAAGGGGAACGGGACTGGAAGGCCTCAGCGACCTTGTGGGCAACGGCCCCTGGAGGATGAAAAGGCAGAGGATGTCCCCGATCGGCAGTGGCCCGGTAGGCAAGGGGCTGGGGACACAGAACTCCATCTGCCTGGGCGAGGATGGGCCCTCGTCCCCCTTGTGCTCTAAGGGGCATGTGACCTCTAAGCGAGGTCAGGGAGAGTTCAACTGCTTGAAGGATTGGATTCAATTCCAGCTCAAACTGGTTTCAGGAAAGGCAGGTAATATTCTTGGCTTCTTTTCCTGAGAAGCCCAGGGGTAGGCCAGCATCAGGCATGACAGGATACAGATGCTCAGATGTACCAAGATACCTCTCTCTACATCTCTTTCCTCTTTCTTTTGTGTGACTTCACTGCTGGACATGCTCTTCTCACGCAGAGGCCACCGGCAGCTGTGGTTTCTTTCGTGCGGCCTTAGCAGTATCTGTTGGAAGAAAGTTCTGGTTGAAGTCCCAGAACGGAGTCTCATTTGTGCTGGTGGTCACAGGGGCGGATGCTCTGATTGATCCAGCTTGGGTCGGAGGTCTCCGTGTTGAGATGGGGTGAGATGGAATCAGCCCCACCCAAAACATGGGGAATGGGGGGGGGGTTCCCCCGAGGAACAAGTCGCATCAGGAAAACAAAACGAGGAGTCTTGCAATGAGATGGGAAGGGCTTGGCAGCAGAAGTTTCGAGTTACATTGTAATTCTGGGCCACCTCTCCATCACCGTAGGGCCCTGGTGTAATGAGGATGGGAGCCTGCTGGGGGCAGGTGGGGCCCAGCTAAGTTTTACCGGGGTTCAGTCAGGACACTGGGTTTAGAGGGGTCTGGGGTAGGTTAGCTGGAAGGATGCCTGAATATCCAGTGGGTGGAAGGAGGTCAAGGCCCAAGTCCAGACCCAGGACAACGGCAGTAGATTTTAGACTTGATGGCACAGCGTGGCCTGGTGATGTCTCAGGGTTCGGGTGGCTGCTGAATATGGGAGGGGGGTGCAGAAATCTGGCAACTCAATCGAGCTTCGACCAAAGTCACACCTTGTGTGACTTTGCATAATAGGCTCCCATTGAAAGAAAGGATTTCATTGTGCAGAAAGTCTCAAAAAGTCCACTGGACGAGGGTGGTGGGAAATCTGCATCTCAGATGCCTGCTACCGCACGGAGGGGGTGTCGTATTGCTGTCACCATGACAGGCTCAGGCCCTGGGGTAGCTCCCGAAGGAGTGCCCGGCTGAGAAGGAGGGCACATTGTTAGTAAGGTCACCCAAGTGTCCTGGATGGCGTGTGATCAACAGGGTGTTACAATTGTGGATTCTACAGAGACTTCAGCTACCGTGGAGGCTCTGTAGGCAAAGGGAGGTGCTCGGTTGTATCACTGGCTTTCCAAGTAGGCATTCGGGAATGGTTTCAGACTCCTGAGCCCCTCCGTGACTGCCCTGAGGAGCTAGAAAGGTGCAGAGTCCTTAAGGGGAGGGTTTGTGGGGGGGGGTCTCCTTGGAGAAGGCTGTGTGGGGGCACGTCAAGAAGGGGTGTGGGTGGATGGAGGTCTCCCGGTCTCAAGCCTTGCTGGAAAGGGCAGGCCTTACAGGGACCTTTGGAGGGTCCATCACCACCTGGATTTGGGGACACCGAGGACTGAGGTCTGAGTCCTGTCCCGGGAGTCGTGAGGTGCAGGAGTGATGTCAGCTGGACAACAACACCCAGAAAACAGGTCTAGACCCTTCTCCCCTACCAGGCTTTGCCCGGCAGGGTCAGTAACCAGGTACGACTTGGAGAAGGAGAGAAACTCTGGACAAGGAGGAGAGAAGGGAAGAGTCATGCTTCCCTTTTTCCCTCCACAAGCAGGCAGTCCAGCACGGACAGGGGAGAAGGGTTGGTATTGAAGCAAATTTGGAGCCACTGCCATTAACTTGCCCTCCTACTAGCTCTAGTGTGTGTGTGTTACATGTACATTAATAGTTGTTTACCTACAAGATACAACATCAAGCTCTTACAATTTGGTTTTTAAATTTTTAATAGTAAAAGAGTAAATTGTAATTAATTTTTTACAGACTTTGAGATGTTTAAAAGTATATTTTCTTAATATTTATTTATTTTTGAGAGAGAGAGAGAGAGAGAGAGCGAGAGCAGGGGAGGGGCAGAGAGAGGGAGACACGAAATCTGAAGCAGGTTCCAGACTCTGAGCTGTCAGCACAGAGCCTGACGTGGTGCTAGAACCCACGAACCATGAGATCAGGACCTGAGCCGGAGTTGGATGCTTCACTGACTGAGCCACCCGGGCGCCCCCATGGTGTAATTTGTGAACACATCCCTCGTGAGCGTGCTCCTAGGTTCCCAGTTTCCTCTGTCCTAGCGCCACTGCTCTGGCCAGTCCCACGTTAACTCACTGCAATCAGCCTACTGGGGCCCACAGTCTCCTGGGAGCTGTGTGGACTGTCCATTCAGTTCCGGTCCTCATGCCTCTTGTCCTTTTGGGAGCATGTGACGCAGTTACCTCCCTCCTTTGGATTTCTGTGCTCCTCTCCATCTGTTCTGCTCAATACCTTATGGCAGCTGATTTCCTTCCTGTTTATATTTTCCCTGGATGGTCCCCTCCGTTTCCTAGTCACCTGCCCTCTTGCCCTGATGCCTGCTGGATCGGCACCCAGCCCAGACCTCTGCCCAGCCTCTGCCTCCAGACGTGGAGTCACCGCGGGCCCTCATCGGCACTCACCCCAGAGCTGACCGCCCCCTCCATGCTCCCTAGCTCAGGAATCAACGCTGCCATCCGCCAGGCCCCTGCAGTTGGCCCCTCGCATCTCTCTGCTCCTCCAGTATCCACAGCACCTTGCGTTGCCCACCCCACACCTACAGTGCGTCAAAGACATCACGTGGTGTCTGGGGCCATGCATACACTCGCGAGGCCAGGCAGGTCAGGCCTTGCTCTTGCCCTTTGATGCCTCTTCCCAACCTGTATTTGAAAGGGCATATAGTCAAAGGGACTGCCTCACCCCAGGCTCTTCCTTAAAATGCCCATTATGACTACACACCCACTGAGTTAGAATTACTCCACTGCGGTGGCCGGGGTGGGGGCACCTGGGTGGCTCAGTCGGTTAAGCGTCTGACTCTTGATTTTAGCTCAGGTCATGATTTCACGGTTGGTGGGATCTAGCCCCTTGTCGGGCTCTGTGCTGACAGCATGGAGCCTGCTTGAGATCCTCTCTCTCTCTCTCTCTGTCTCTCTCTCTCTCTCTGCCCATCCCCCCTTCCTCTCTCAAAATAAATAGATAAACTTAAAAAAAAAAAAAAGGAATTCCTCTGCAGGGGCCTGGGAATCTGCGTTTCGAATGCATTCCTAAGGTGATTCACGGGTCTGCTAATTTTGGATCCAGTGCTAAGAACAAAGTCAAGGCTCTCTCCTGGCACATCCAAGGCTCTCTCTGGAGCTGCATTCAGTATCTCTACCTCCAAATTAGAACTCAATTCTTGCTTGGAAATCTTGGGATTATGAAATGAGCCCATGAAACGCAGGGCACAGTGTGACACGTGGAAGGCACCGCAGGACGTGAGCACCTCCATCCTGGTTAAGGCGCGTGCATTTTTGCTGGCTTCTGGAAACAGCAGCTCACGGGGTCGTGGAGGAGACCCGCAGGCAGGTGCCGTGTGCGCCCTGGGCTTGCGGGGTCAACCGTGTCTGCGTGTGGCTTCTCGGTGCTTGTGATCCACGGTAGTCTTTCGTTCTGTCACAGCCCCTCGTGGACTCTCCCAGGGTACTACTACCTGGCTTGCGTGGCCGAAGCATTTCACTGCGACACGGCTCCAACTGCCAAAGCCATGCTGAATTCTGAGGGCAGAACGGAGTCCTCTGAGCTCCGCACTCAGTATCCAGGATGAACCGATGATTTGCCGTGTATTAGTTATACTTCCTTCGCCCCCCCGCCCGAGCCCCCGTTTGTGCTCTGCCCTCCTGTGCTCTGGGATCCAGGAGGCTGACCCCTAAGTACTGTGTGGCCTTGTTGTTTTGTCTGCTGGATTCCAGCTGGGGAGTCGTGTGCGCTCGCGTGGGCTGCTGTGAACAAATAACCCAGACTGGGAGGCCGAGGCCGGAGTTGTTTTCTCTCGCGGTCCTGGAGGCTGGGGATCCGAGGCCCAGGTGTCAGCAGGTCGGCGTCTGTCTGCTCAGGTCTCTCTCCTTGGCCTGCAGATGCTGCTGTCTTCTTCTCTTTGTGCCTTCCCATGGCCCCGTCCGCCCCTGCCCTGGGGATCTGTGTCCAAATCTCTTCGTAGAAGGACTCCAGTCCTGTTGTACTAGGTTGGCCCTAATGACCACATTTACCATAATTCCCTCTTTTGGCCCCATCTCCAGATACAGTCACATTCTGAGGTTGGGGGGAGGTGTGAAGACTCAACCTATGGGTTTGGGGACTCAACTTTGGGGAGCACGGCTCAGCCTGGCAGGGGCTGGAGATCAGAGGGAGGAGGAGGGGCTGGCACACCCACCACCCCTCCTGCTCCTGCACCTCCAATGGGCGATGGCAGCGTCTCTTCCTGCCCCCTGTGCCCTTCCTGTACATCCCTCCCCTCCCCTCCCCTGGGAGTGGTCACCGCTCCCCACAACCCCGCATTCGGTATTCGCCTCTGGGCACCTCAGCACGTCTGTTCTCTCGACCCTGCCCGCACCTCTGAAACTCGCCCTCAGTAGAGTCTCTGTATCTGATCTACCGAGCCGGATTCTGTTTTCTGTTGGAGCACTGATGGTACGGTTCGTTCGCTCACGATTTTCTTCAGGAACGCTTGTCCGCACGTCCTCGGCACCCAGGCACGTCGCTCCCAGTGAACACAGAGGGATGGGAGCCATTGGTCACGGAACGCCTCCCTTAGGAGCGACAGATTGCTTCCTTCTCTAATGTGAAGGAAGGCTTCCTGGAGGAGGAAGCACTGAGGCTCTACGGGTTGGGGGCCGAGTTTGGCGATTAAAGAAGGCAGGTTACATGGCACAGAAGTTACAGCAAAAGCCAGAGCCGAGAGCTGTCAAAGCAAGGGTGGCTTTGTCCTGGCTGGGTCCACGGTGTCACCATCCATGCAGTCACAGGGCTAGAAA